ATGGAGTACTTTATTACAGAAGGTGGAAAAAACCCACAACATTTTCAAGATTTTGTGGAGCTTTGCTGTAGAGCATATAATATTGTCAGAAAGCACAGCCGCCTGCTCTTAAACCTTCTAGAAATGGTAAGTCCCTTGGGGAAATAACAGAATTAATAAGCTTCATTTATGTCTCTTTTTCAGTAGTCTATTTTAGGCTAATGACTTGGAGATCCCCAAAGAGCTATTCAAAACAGAAAGAAATGAAGAAATTAAGAGGACCTAGGTACAGCTTACAAAAACACTTCTTGAAAATTTAGCATGTAGTTTATAGTTACTGTCTCAAGAATTTCTGTTCACAACATCAATGCATTCAAAGGTTATCGCAGTGTGTCTTGAAAGAAGTCCAAGGACAATACTTTAAAATATAATGCCATTAGCTGTTTTGCACATTAGGAGTGTTTAAAGGGCCTTAAATATACTGTCTCACACATTTATGGTGATCCCAGTGATGTAAACCCAACAAGGACTGTTGCTGTCTTAATCTTTGTCTTGATCCTGTCTTTTGACCACTTGCTTATTTTGCAGGTCAAGAGACTGAGAGTCAGAAATGTCAGGTGATGCTAGCAATTAAATCAGAAAGTATACAGTGAGTGGTATACATTGTGTCTATTGAGATTTGACCCTATATATTCAGTGGACCAGTAAGTGAAGTTTGGTGTTGTATCTCATTGTTTAGCGCAAAGAGAAGAATAGACATACAGGAGGACAGAGGTAGAATCTGATAGAAGTGTTTGCTGAGAGAAGAGTGTTGTAATTTCTCTGCACACGTGTGCTTGTGCCAGTAATTCCTGCAGTATAGAAGACAACATACCAGTGGCTCCTTAATGAAGAGATTGGAGCTTTCAGATTACAATAATTTTGCTTCATATTTTTATAGCAGTCACAGCCTTAGTGGTTGAATCTTTGATTGTTTGAGTCCTAGCTTGGCATTTTACTAGTTACATTCCTAAGGAGATGTTACTTAACCCTAAAAAACCTTTTCCTACCAGCTAAACCAATTCCTACTTGTAGAGTTGATGAATAAAGGATCTAATAATTAATGTTTTGCATAGATCAGGCACTGTGCTAGGTGCTTTATCATTACTGATGGAAGTTCATTCTATCTTAGCTCACATTGATATAATGTAATGCACTTGGTACCTTCCTTATAATATTTAAATCCTTAGAACAGAACCTGCCACATAGCAGGTTTAAATTAATTAATATTATAGTAGATGTTTGTCAGTGTACGTTTCCACTCTTCCAGGGCTTAATGGGAGCATGTAGCTAATGACATCTGTCTTAGTTACTTTTCTCTCGTTGCTGGGACAAATACCCGACACTCAAAATGAAGGAAAAAAAGGTTTATTTAGCTCACAGTTACTGGAGGTTTCAGTCCATACTCAGCTGGGTCCAACGCAGAGCAGCACAGAGCAGAAAGCAATCTTTCATGGCGGTGGCAAAGAGCAAGAGTGCAAGGGAGGGGCAGCAGCAGCTCAAGCAGCTAGCTTCTCTTCCCACCTTACATTGTAATGCTAATTACCTGCCCCAGGGTAGGGGAAGTACTCACACCTATGGGTACTTCCCAGTACTTACCCACCTCTTGGTAATCCCAGCAGTACTAAAACCCATAATCCCAGCCTTGGATCACACATAATCCCAGTGGATCATTAGTTAACACAAACTCTAGAAGTCCTCACCCCATGACTGCATGAGGCTTTGGGGGGACAACTAGACACAAACCATAACAACATCATAGTGGGCAGCACAGGTATAAAAATTTCTGTCACAACAAAAATACTCCACTTGGTAGTGCAGAATCAATGTCGACATTGTTACAAGTAGATGTGATTTGGATTCTTTTTAAACTTTCAAATAATGTATCAACTCTCCATTCTGCTTTGAAAAAACAAGGACTTTTAAAAATATTGCAGACATGGTATTTATGCAAAAAAGAAAGGATGGGATTAGCTTAGGAAAAGGGAACATGTAGGGTCCTAACCATCTCCAGACTGCTCAGGCTGTCTTGCAATGATGGTCAATATTTCTATTGGTAGATCTGAATTCTGCTCCTATTCCCAATGTATCACATTTAATTTACGGGCTGGCTTAAGGCTTGTAACAAGCTGCAACCTAAAGACTAAGTCCATGAACACGACTCCATTCATATGTATAACAAACATTCAGGTAAAATCAATTCTAGTGCTGACATATGTTTGTACCTAACACTGATAATGTTGAATCTCCAACAAGACCTGCTTCATGGATCCACAGTTCATGCGTGCTTACTATGTGCCAGAAGGTATGAAGGACACAGTGACAGATAAGGCCCAGAGCTCTAAAAGTTTCAATTTAGTAAGGAAGATAAAATTATGCACACAAGTGAGGTATGAAGTATTTCTAAAGGCCTATAAATGCTATAAATAGCGGCATGAAAGGAGCAGTTCCAAATTATAAAATATCTTCAACCAAGACGATATCTCAAAAATAAATCGAAAGCAGGAAAACAAGTATGGTTTAAGCTGTTGCTCAGGTGACACTGAAATTATGCTGCTTGCCAGGTGGGCATGTTAGAATAATATGAAAAGAGAACTCCCAAAAAAAGGATTCAGAAACTATTAGTGGACTTTCTCTCTTGTTTAATAAACTTTGCTACATACCTTTAAAAAGATACAGTGCATGAGTTATTAAGCCACACAGTCATTCATTTGTATAATGTCATTTCATTTAGAAGACACAGATGTATGAGGCTTTAATCACAAGTATCACAATAATTTCTCATAAATAATATTAAAAACAGCTGCTGAAAGTTTCTGGTGTATAATATATCAAGAATGATCCATATTCTAATTAAATCAAGTCCTGATTTCTAGGCAAAAGGAAAAATATGGCAGTGGATGTCAGTAATTCAGCTTAAGTGTATAATTTAGATTTAGACTTTCAACAAAATTGCAGGAGACACTAGAAGCCATGTGAAATAGTTAACCTTGGATGAATGTGTGTAAAATAGCACTGTGTTATTACTTTAGCTTCTGTCTATTTATATCTCAATCCTCTCCATTTACTCAAGTATATATCTTGTTGGACTCTGTAGATAAAGCATTTGGTGAAGGTTGCAGGACCATATACTCTACTTCTACTTCTTCTTCTTCTTCTTCTTCTTCTTCTTCTTCTTCTTCTTCTTCTTCTTCTTCTTTTTTTTTTTGTGGTACCAGGGAATGAACTCAGGAACCCTGCGCTTGCCAGGCAAGCACTTATTCTACTGAACTATCTCCCTGGATCAGGACCATATATTCTATGGAAATCTTTTTAATATAAAATAAAAGTAAAGTTTAAATGTGCAAAAAAAATTTCTACTCATGTCTATACTCTCTCTTTCCTTCAGTTCTCCCTCAAATTGACTCTTGCTTTGTTATATTCTTTAAAAATAATTCAGCCTACCACACCATAACCTAGTTATGCCTTGAGAAATGCTTGACACAGGTCATAAATTCTATCTTCTAGGGATGCTCAGTGCCCAAGATTATGAGCCAAAGGCATTTGGTGGGTTTACTATGAAGTTAATAGCTTGTCCTCGGCAAAGAGCAGCATGTTTCCAGACAGCTACAGTGCCCCCCCCCCCCCGGGAAAAGCAGGAAAAAAAATAATCTATGAAATTCCCATCCTGCTTAAAAGCAACATCTGTAGAAGACCCCAGAGTTTTGATAGCTGATTCACTAACATAAAAGCCTACATTTGATAAGCTTTTCTCTCATTAAAAAAGCCGTATCAACCATCATAGAACACTCCCAAAGAACACAAGGACTATTTAGTCAGTTTAAAATGTTTATCACACCCATTATTGTATCAGCTATTTCCCAGAGGAAGCTCTGTAGCTTGTCTTTGTGGTAAGGAAGAGTGCCTCCTCCCCTAAGCAGAACTATTTAAACAGATCTGGACTTAGTGGGTGGAGGATAGCACAAGAAGAAACTGTAAAAATCATCCTGTCCTTTGAAGAAAGGGTTGACCTACTCATTAGCTGTTTCTGTTCATTACCTAGATGTTGCAGCTTCTACTTCCTTCCCCACTGCCCCAGCTCCAGTGGTGACCCACATGATCTAAACTAGACAGGGAGGCATTTGACTTGCAGCTTGCTAGGAGTCAGAGAAAGCCCAGTTAAGTGAGGCCAAGCTATGAGCCCATCCTAACACATTTATTGATGGTGTATTCCTCCCATAAAAAATACTTGACAAAGTCCTGACCAAGAAATTGTGAATTCCGGGTATCCAGGGAAACCACAGGCAATGCAGACACTAGAGAAGCAACCTACTTTTAGGAAATGGGTGCTATTTGTGTGACAAAAAGGAAATTGGACTCAATAAAAAACAAAGATATTTCCAGAAACTCTTAAGTACAGAGATGATAAGATAAAACTTAACCTACATTCTAATTTGAGTTGGGAATGTGTCCCTGTGTGGTTGATTCTGTTACATTTGGAATCCATATTGAATTTGGTAGTCGTAGGGTTTTCACAATTCATTAGTGTCAGTTACTTTTTTCCTTCATTCATATACTCATTTATCCAGGAATTCATAATTCCAGACATTCATTAAGTTCCAACTATTTACAAATCAGTGTGCTAAGTCACATAGATAGTTCAACACAGAATTAAATAGTTCATTGTTCTCAAAGAACCAGTTAAGAAACCAATTAATCAAGTCCTGGTCTTAAATCTGTGATAAATCTCACATGGAAAATTTGAGCAAAACTTAGTATATGCTAAAAAACAGTACAGTGAAAGAGGTAAAATGAAAATATGATTGCTGTATAGTAAAAGCAGCAATTAAATCTCATCCCAAGTATCAGTAATACCTCGAAGGAAAGACATTTTAAGATGAGGCTCAATATTTTTTCAGTAGAACAGAAAGGAGAGGAAAGGTGTTTCTGGCTGGGAGAAAAGTGTAAGAATGAATGGGGCTTGAAGAACATTTCATGGCCATTCATGTGTTGGATATGGAGGTAACAAAGGGCACCCAGTGTGTTGAATCTGATGGAAACCTCTATTGAAGATACAGTTGAAGTAACAAATTACATTTCTGACCAGAATGAGGATCAAATGTGTTTGCTCACAGTGGCGAGAGTATCATCATAATTGTAGACAAATAATCCACAGGTAATCATATTAAAGAGTTAGAGATTAGAGAAAATAATTTATTCAGAAAATCTAGGCAAATGAAGACTAAAGACCCAAACTAGGCCAGAGGTAGTTGCAATACAGAAAAGTAAATTAACAAGGATCTGCTGAGTGGTTTTGTAGAATTAAGTGATTGACAACAGAAATGAGGAAAAAGGGAATCAAAGAAAACAAGAATCTCTTGTTAACTGAGATATAAAACACACACACAAAAAAAGAGGATAGGTTTATCAAAGAGAATGAGTTCAGATTTAGATACTGTGAAACTGAGATGCCACTGGATTATCTATGAGAAAGGTTGACAGGCCTGCAGGACCAGCTGACCCAGGTTCTTGGTTTCACACACCGTCTATATGCTAACAGCTGCCACATCTATATTTATAGCTGTGTGCTTTGGATGCCTTTCATGTTCCTCAATGTGTATAATCAATCAGTTGTCTCACCTCTACTTCCTGCATATAACTTAAATCCTATAATACTTGGACTCATAAACTAATTTCTAGTCCCATCTCTTCATTGGACCCTCTTTAATTCATTCTTCCTATATACCAACAATGACATTGAAATTAAACACTTGAAGAGCTATTCCTTGCCTTTAGGAATTCCTTGCTACAGCTCCTGTTTGTGCCTTTTCTTTCCTGTCTCTGGATTCTCAATCCCATGTCTCTCCACTCTCCAGAAATCCTTTCTGGATTTCTTTCTTGGATCATATGGCAGACAGCCTAGTCTCTGATATACCTTCAAGCATGTTGCCCCATCAGCGTGGGTGGGGAGCGGGAAAAAGAGCACAGTTTCAAAACTTTTTCTTTCTAATTTGAACTCCATCAGATCAATTACAATTTCACAATCATAATTAACTTACATTTTAAGAGTGTCTATTCCAGAGCATGAAGTATTTATCATCTTATTC